CCATCCTGATAATGGGAGTGTGGCAGGATGGTTGGCGGCGTGGAAGAATCGATTCCACGTGATGTCTCTGCCTTGCCCTGCAGGTATGTGATCTGCAAAGGACTGAAGCTGGGGATCGACGACGTGCGGGACTACCTCTTCACGGTGAACATCAGGCTGAACCAGCTGCGCGGCTCCGATGTGGACGTCAACCTCGTCGTGCCACTGAACGTCATCAAAGGCGACCAGGATTTCTGTGATTACATCGTCCGGTCCAACGAAAAGTGAGTGCTCCTGGGCAACGGAGGCTGCTGCCTGGAGAGAAGGTTAACCAGCATGGCTTTCAGTTGTAGCTTCTTGCACTCTTGGAGGTACTTGTTGATGCTGCTACACGGCTCTGCGTTTGATTCCTGAGAGGCTTATAGCAGAGCAGAGGAACCCTGTGCAGAGATAAGTGCTGTATATTGTTAGTGACTCTTTGGCCTCAAAGTACTGTACTGTGTAGAAGAGACAGGAGGCTACTGCCTCCTTCTTTCCAGTGGCCTTCCTGTCACTTTGAATCATGTTGGTGGTGATCTGTTGCTGCTCTAAGGATAAGACTGGCTTCCTCCTGTTGTCTCAGCACTCTTCCTTGTTTTGGACAGTAGAACAAACTTGATGGTGATTAACTTACTCCCTGACTGAAAATTGTCTTCTCTTCCAGCCACTGCAGAGTTCAGATAAAGGCACTAGCGAAAATTCGTGCCTTTGTCCAAGACACGTGAGTATATTCCTCTGGCTTTCAGCAGAGATTGAATTAACCTACTGTAAATGAATTGCTTTGCTGCCCTCTAATGTGTTCTTGATTTCAGCTGGTACTTGGCCTGGCCTTTGGAGCCAGGAAAGTGACTAGTGCTTTTACCTAGCTCAGTTTTTGTCTCTAGCTTGAGTTACTGGCAGAAACGCGTGGGTGGCAGGAGGAGTCCTGAAAGTTATAGTGCTTTTAGGTAGCTCAGTTTATGTCTCTGGCTTGAGTTACTGGCAGAAACGTGTGGGTGGCAGGAGGAGTCCTGAAAGTTGATGGCCCATTATCACCCTTGTTGAGAAGGCCTCCATGTGTTGTCTGATTTCTGATAACTGTACATTATCTATATGAAGGCCTGCTTCTTAGCAGGAGTGTTAGCAGGAAAATAACTTGCAGCTGGTATGTTCAGTTCTACAGTAACCATCTAGGTTGCGTGTGGTTCATAGCCCTTAATTTTCCAAGGGCAATTCAGAGCATTTAAATTTCATACCTAGAATTACCTAAAGCTTATGGCATGAAATTCTTGGGTAAAACTGAGCCATGGTGTTGTACAGCTGTTTCCCTGGCATGACTTTTCTCTTCAGATGTCATTCAGAGATAATACCTGGTAGAAAGTGGAGTGAGCCTGGTAGCTGGGAATTATCTCAGAGTTAATCCTAAGATTTAGACTGTTTTTTGTGTGGCCTTCTGCAGGTCTTCATTGCTATTTGTACATAGGGCTACAGCTCTTGTACCCAGCTCTTGGAGAGTAGCATAAGTTCATACTGATACACAACTTTTTGAAAATATTGGTGCCCAGTGGGACTTTCATGGGATGGAGTGGTGGCTGCTCATCAGTAGTGCAGACCATGGAACAAAGCTAAGCACTGGGATGGGAGGTGGGTGGAAGGTGGGGAGGGAAGGCAGCATCCTCTTTTGTGTAGTCTGTTGATGAACAGTGTGTGTTTATCATTGACAAACCAGACCTTGAAAGATCTTTTTTAAGATCTTTCTTGGAAAGAAAGTAAGTTTTACAGGGCTGGTATGTGTGATGCTGCAAGAGCGAGGAGGTTTCACTGTCTGCTGTCTCCTTCTAGGACGCTGATTGAGCCGCGGCAGGCTGAAATCCGAAAGGAGTGTCTCCAGCTGTGGGGGGTAAGTAAGCTGCCAAGCAGGGAGGTTCTTAATGTGTCTTTGCTGTGGTGAAACAAGAATGGAGCTGCTGCAGTTCAGGTAGGACTTTCTAGCCAGAGGTTTAGCGTGTTGTGGGGAAGTCAGAGACCGTTTCAAGCTATTTATGTAGGCGAACGGGATGTTTCTGATTTGTTGTATGTGTGGCTTAACTGAGCAGGCTGCTTTGCTGCAGCTGAGAATACTTCATCATGCACAGAGTGAACTCAGCACCTAGTTCCCAAGCTGCAGAGCTCTCCAAAAGGTCTCGTTTTGTGAGTGTGCAGTTTCTGTTCCTGAGACTTTGCCCACAGTGGAGCCATGGATGCGGCAGTCAGTTTGACAGCCTGTGTGTTTTAGATTAAACAGTATTTCATGAAAACATGCCTAAAGTCAAAGATTTAACCTGAAACTTTCTGAAGTTGCCTATTGTTTCCTGTGAGATGTGTTATGCCTCCATTAAATTTGCAAAACACATACACCTTTTATTTGCCAGATGACCTCTCCAGCAAGTGGAATCCCAAGGGAGCAGGGGTTTCTGGGGACAGGATATTCTGTCATGTATTGAAACCAGAAAGGTTCCTATGAACATGCCAGGAAATATCACTCATTATCAATTGTTTGGATGTGTTTTCAGATTCCTGATAAGGCTCGTATTGCTCCTTCATCTTCAGATCCCAAGACCAAGTTCTTTGAGCTGATACAGGTGAGATGTTACCCAGAAGCTTGTTCTGAGTCCCTTCATACACATAGAACTTTTCCTCATAGGAACTGTGAGATAAAGAAGCTAGTCCAGGATCATTGTTTCATGTACAAGTTGCATTTACCTACCTGTTGATATCTTGTGTCTAATTTGACTTTTCCATACTTTGCCACCTAGGGCACAGATATTGATACTTTCAGTTACAAACCCACTCCTCTGAATTCCACTACTCTGGAGAAGATTCGTCAAGTGTTAGATTACCGGTGTATGGTGTCTGGGAGTGAGCAGAAGTTCCTCTTGGGGCTAGGGGTAAGTGCTGACAAACAGTCCAGGAGTTTTGCTGGTTCATTTTGATGCCAGTGTTCTGCCTTGCAGTTTCATCCTGTCCTGCATCCTCAAAGGCTGGAAAGGATCCCCATCAGCAGTCCCTGAGACTGCTACTCATTTTGTTTCCTCTGACTTCACTGCTTTTCACACTAATTAACCCTGTTCTTGAAAGCACAGCCTATGCAGAGACCTGTACTCTTCTGTTGCTTCTCATTATCTTCACTGTCCTTTTAAAAGTGTTCTATTTCTGGTTCTTTATGTGGGTATGAAAAATCACTGGCAGATTAGAGTCAATGTTTTTGTTCCTTTGCTGTAGAGATTAAGGTTCTTCCTTAAACTTCTGACAAAGAAACTGTCTGCAACAGCCTAGGACAGAAGGATTCTCTGAGGGCTGCTCCACAGTTAGTCAGAGGTCTCTCCTCCACCCGTGTTGTATTGAAGCTTTGGCTGAATCTGACTCTGCTTTCTACACACAGAAATCACAGATCTACACCTGGGATGGTCGCCAATCGGATCGCTGGACAAAGCTGGATTTGAAAACTGAGCTGCCACGAGATACACTTCTCTCTGTGGAGATTGTTCATGAGCTGAAAGGAGAGGTAGGAGGCTATTCTTTCCCTTACCAAGTGGCTGCAAATATAATGAGCAGTTTCACCTATTCTTTGTAAGATACTGCAGAATAAATGCTCCATCTGTTCCAGGTGCAAGGGGTTTTTTTGTATATAGTCTTTAGAGAAACTATTTTGGATTAATTTCCTTCTTTCTGTCCAGTGCTACAGATATGAGCTTTTAACATTATTTTGAAAACACTTTGGACCTGACATGTTCCTATGTACAGCAGCAGCAGACATTGCCAATGTAACTTAATGTGGCTCTGTGGGCATGGAACTGCTGAGCAGTGATCACAGCCCTTTGGGAAAAACTCCTCATGGTGTATTCACAGTGTAGGGTCTCTGGGATCTGGGAGATTTCCTGTCCTCTGGCACCTCGGATGAGGATGGTGTAGTGTGCTGGGCTTTGTGCTGTGGTACCTGATGAGGCACAGAGAGCTGGTGAGGGCAGCTGTGGTCCTGGCCTCTCCTTCCCCTGAGACAGAACTTGGGTGGCTGAGAGACGCCAGTTCTCGGAGGGTGACATGTTACTGTGCAGTGGGCAGCAGGGAATTTGTGTGCTTTCCTTCTAAAAGAGAGTGATGTCCTGTCACAGAATAGGCTGTAAATCAAAAGCTGAAATAGGAATGGTCTGAGCAGTAACTCTGTGTTGCCCTCCCTAGGGGAAAGCCCAGCGAAAAATCAGTGCCATCCACATCCTTGATGTCTTGGTGCTGAATGGCAACGACGTTCGAAAGCAGCACTTCAACCAGAGGTATGTAGGCTCTGCAGAAGCTGCTTCTTTCTTGTATGGGTGTAGGAGTGACTGGGAAACAGCACTCACATTAAAAGCAGAACACTGAGCATGGGGAGGCAAGTGCACTCAGCTGAAACGCTGCTATAAAGATGAACTGTGAATGAACCTGATGTGAAGTGAAGCTCAGACAGACTTTTCTGGGATCTGGGAGATTTCCTGTCCTCTGGCACCTCGGATGAGGATGGTGTAGTGTGCTGGGCTTTGTGCTGTGGTACCTGATGAGGCACAGAGAGCTGGTGAGGGCAGCTGTGGTCCTGGCCTCTCCTTCCCCTGAGACAGAACTTGGGTGGCTGAGAGACGCCAGTTCTCGGAGGGTGACATGTTACTGTGCAGTGGGCAGCAGGGAATTTGTGTGCTTCTAACACCTGGAAAGGTGCTTTCTTTCTAAAAGAGAGTGATGTCCTGTCACAAAACAGGCTGTAAATCAAAAGCTGAAATAGGAATGGTCTGAGCAGTAACTCTGTGTTGCCCTCCCTAGGGGAAAGCCCAGCGAAAAATCAGTGCCATCCACATCCTTGATGTCTTGGTGCTGAATGGCAACGACGTTCGAAAGCAGCACTTCAACCAGAGGTATGTAGGCTCTGCAGAAGCTGCTTCTTTCTTGTATGGGTGTAGGAGTGACTGGGAAACAGCACTCACATTAAAAGCAGAACACTGAGCATGGGGAGGCAAGTGCACTCAGCTGAAACGCTGCTATAAAGATGAACTGTGAATGAACCTGATGTGAAGTGAAGCTCAGACAGACTTTTCCAACAGTACCATCTCTGTGTTTGAGGGCAGGTCTGGCTCCTTGTGCCTGGCTCACTCCACACTACACACTCTGGGTAAAGAGCATTCTGGGAATATGCAGGAGCACAGCTGACTGAGGGACAAGGAACAAGTCCCTCTGCTTCCTTCCTCAGGGGCATGATGTCTCTGCTAGTCCTACTTTCCTACTAATATCTCTGTGTGTTAGCATCATGTGGGCTTGAAGAGGAAGCTATGGAGACCCTTTCCTAATGCATAATAGCCAGTATCACTGGGCATGGAACTGGGATGGCAGGGTAAAAGAAGTCTTGCTTTGTACCCATCTGGGTAGCAGTGGAGGCAGTCTGCATATACTGAATCTCTAATCAGTTAATTCTGCTGAAACTGTTACCTACCTGCTGTGCCAAAGATCTCACTAAACTGCTGGATTCTCTTCATGTTTTCATTTAGGATTCAGCTGGCAGAGAAGTTTGTCAAAGCTGTTTCTAAACCTAGCCGGCCAGATATGAACCCCATCCGGTGAGTGACGACTCCTTCCCTCAGCCTGGCATGCCTTGGTGTCACTGTGTTGGAGGGTGAAGATATGGACATGAAGGAGAGTTAAATTTCAATCTGAAATTCACTGTTCTGTTATGTTCAATGGAAAGAGGCTAAAAGCCTTTTTAAATATTTAAGATAGCAGTTGACAGTGCACGAGTTGTACCCTCCTTTCACATATCAGGCAGTGCTGTTTTCATCATGGGTGGACTGGCTGGTGTTGGTTTCAGATACATGCTATAGTAGGTCTAGCACCCAGTTAGCTTGACCATTGCAGAGACTTCTTTGTCCTTGTCTGCCCTGAAGGATCAGCAGTGGTACAGAGATGCCAGCTGTTAGTAGGTGAATGCAGTGCTGACCAGCAGTTACAGTCTCCAAGCGGTTAGGCTGAGGAGAGAAGGCTTTAGTTACAATCCCAAGAAAGTTCCTGATAAAAGGCTTCATCTTTGGCTGACTGGACCTTCTATTTCATGAATTCTGCTGTGGTGGACATAAGAGCATCATTGTGCTGGGTATCAGATGGGCATTATGGACAAAATTTCTGGTTCAGAAGCTAGAAGTGCTGTGATACTGTGGGAGAAGCTGGAGGAAGGGAAGGAGGATGTTCTCCTTGGTGGCTTAATGAAAGATAACGAGTGGGATCTCAGTTAAACTCAAGACAAAGAGTTGCAATAACAGGAGGAGCAAAAAAACATTGGGGAGGGCTGAAAGTGAAGTGAGGAGAGCTGTAGGAATGGGTTGTAGAGGGGTCCTTTGCTGCTCTTGTGAAAAGGTGTTCAAACTGTCCTCTTGCAGCCTGATGCGTGTAGCAGTGTGTGGGAAACAGGTGGTTGGCCTGTCAGATCAGAGGCAGTGCTTTTCAAACTTTCCCATTGTCTTTCTGTGTCTCAGAACAACAAAAGCAAAAGCAGTTTGACATAGCCATAACAATGATGACTCCATCTTTACTGATTTAAAAGGGAAGGGAAAAAACCCTGTTTTTACCTTAGGGTAACTAATGAGTTTATGGTGTCCCTAAGGAAAAAGACAGCGAAGATCAGGCAGTTCAGTTTTACTGTGAGGCCAGAACCTGCCTGGTGCTGACCTTGCTGAACTCACCTCATGGGAGAACAACTGCACCCGACTTTCATTGTTCTTCCTCTTCTGCATGCTCAGCCTGAGGTGAAAATGCACAGCTTCCTTAGCAGCGAGGAGACTCTCCTGTATGCTGCTTACTGCAACCCAGCCATGAGACTGTGGGCGTCAGGTTTTCTCAAGCCAGGAGAAATAAGGCCCTGGAGCATATGATTGAGGAGTAGGGTGAACCTCAGTCATGCCTGACCACCTCATGCTGTACAAAATGAACTGTTTGACTTTTCCCTGTAGCTGGGATGGAAAAAAAGGGCAGTTCAAATTTTTTTTTTAATTCTATTTTTGTTTTTTTTTCCCCCCAGAGTGAAGGAAGTGTACAGATTGGAGGAAATGGAGAAGATTTTTGTGAGGTAAGTGACCAGCACTTTGAGTTTATTGGCCACCAGTGCACAGGAGTGGCAGGTATGCGCTGATCTGTGCTTGGGGAGTCCTGGAGAAAGAGCTGTTAGAACTCCTGCAGCTGGTGGCTGCTGTTCCTGAGGTGCAGCTGACTCTGAGCATTATCCTGCTGAGTGGTGATGCTGTAGGTGTGGCCAGTGCACTTCACAACAGCCAGAGCAGTAGCAGCACAGGAGTTTGCATGCTGAAGTGCCAGTGGCTTCCTGGTGGCTCGGAAGATTCAGTGTGTTCATACCTGAAATGGGAACCCCATTTGGATTAGGTGTGTAGGTCATCATAGATCCTTCATTGGAACATGATTTGCTATCTGATCTAGACAGCTCTGGCTGGTTTCTCTAGACATGTGTGGGGAGCCCAAAGGCTGAGTTCTTCAGGATGCGATGATTTTGTCCTGTCAGATGCAGTGCTGTCAGTTTTCACTGTGACACTCTGGAGAGGACCTACATGTGGCACATTGTGTGCAAGATGATGGAAGAAACAGGGAAGCCTTGTCACTGTCTTCTTTCATGTAGGTTAGAGATGAAAGTCATCAAGAGTTCAGGGGGAATCCCCCGACTGTCCTACACTGGCCGAGACGACCGGCACTTTGTGCCCACAGGACTCTACATCGTCCGGACTCTGAATGGTAGGGAGACTCACCACTCTTATTTAACATTTTTGTTGTATCTTCAAGTGGAAAGTATTGACCAGACTCACTCCTGTTGTAACTTGGTAAAATATTAATGGGAGTATTCCAATGGCTAGAGATTAACTGTTTGCATGTAATGAGGGTAGCTTAGATTTGGATAAGGTCTAGGGTATTTATATGATAGGTTTCTCTTGTTGCAGATTGATGAGCTGTTGGGTGTGAGTAATTCCATTTATTTACATGACTACTGACTTTCTTTTTTAACAAGATCATAATTTTTCATCAAGAAGATATTTTCCAGAATAATAATATATGGAAATGCCCTATTTGGAATGTCACCTTTTAAATGGAGGGAGAAGGTAGTTTTCTCAGTGAATAGAGAACAGTCTGGGAAGCAGGTCCTCTTGATGGAGGAAAGAGGAGTAAGAGAAGGATCACATATTCTTACAGATTCCTCCTCCCTGCTTGCACTGTATGTGTATTTATACTGTGCTTTTTTTCTCCTTTCCGTTTTCTATCTGATCTTTGTGGCTCTTCTGCAAGATCCATGGACAATGGCATACAGCAAAAACACCAAGAGGAAATTCTTTTTCAACAAGATGACCAAGCAAGCAACATACACCCTTCTTTTTGAAGCCATCGCACCCTTTCAGTGAGTACAAAGCAGAGCTGGGCTGAGGAAGGACAGCTGTGTGTGAGAGGGTGCATGTGCATGTCTGGGTTTTTGGAAGGGAGTTCAGCTGTGCTGTGTTCTTGCAGTTGTTTGCAGTGGAAACACAGCTCGGTCACCAGCAGGGTGTGCTGCAGAAGCTGGCACCTTCTCAGACGTTCAGGAAACTGCTGAGCTGGATTTGTAGATTTAGTAATTAATTGCTATCAGCAGCACACATCTCACAGCTTTGTTCCCCTGTCTGCAGTGGAGTCCAACTTACTGAACCTCCCTGCACAGAGGGAGATGGAAATTGAGCCCAGCAACTGTAATTTGCTGCATCTCTGTATTTTAAGATGCTTGATTGGAAACTGCTAATTTTAAAGCAAATCCCAGTTAATTTAGCCCAGGTTCTGGAATAAGCTGTAGGTAGCTGGGGGCTGTTTAAAGATAGAGTGAGAGAGAAAAGCAGCAGCTCCCTGGGAGAGAGGATGGAGTGGCTTGTCGTTGGACAGTCATTAAGACTGTGGACACTGAACCCCATCTCTAACTGTCGATAGAGTGCTAGGATAAGGCAAAAGTACAGCCAATCATGAGTCTGTGTGACACCTCAGGGCTCACAGGTAGAGATATTCTGTACACCCTGCCCTCAGGTAGTCTCAAGAGATGCCCTCCACCACCAGTACCCAGGACTGTGCCTCTGAGCGAGAGCTTGGTCTGAAATAGGGCTCCTGATTTTCTTGCTTTTGAGTCTCCTTGCCTACTTTGAAGCAGCGTTCTTAAGAATCCTTCAGCTTTCCATGAGCAGCTAAATGTAAGAACAGGCTTAAAAAGCAGAGGCACAGGATGCTTTTTCCTTCCATGTGCCAGGGTGGGGTTAGTTCTGCCTGTGCACTGTGAAGCAGGGCAGCGTGAAGCTGCACGAACAGCTGAGGAGGTGGAGGGAGCAGCTGCGTGGGCCTGCAGGAGAGACGTGTTGTGTTGTGGTTAGTGAGGACTAATGTGTCTGTAATTAGCCACTGACATGTGCTCCTGTCGCTGTGCTAGTACAGCTTTGTTAGAGCAGCAGCACTAGATAGGCCATGAATATTGTGTCAGGAATTGTACAGAACTAAAGGCTGCTGGGGCGGTGGTAATGAGCTGCTCTGTTTCCATTCTGGCTGGGACTGTGCTGAGCAGTGAGGGAGGGCTGTGCTTGAGGGATGGAGTGAGAGAGGGCATTGTAGGACCAGAGCTCTCAGCAGCCAAGTGGAGCTCGGTTATTTTGCAGCAGGGGAAGGAGGGGATGAATCTAGCTGCTTGTGTGCAGTGTGAAGAGCTGCTCATTTGCAAAGCTCCATAGGACAGCTGTTACTGGTTCTAGTAGGTTGTAGTGAGTAGATGGCTGCTGCTGCTGGCAGACTTTCTAATTTCTTCATTAAGGCCTTTCCATTGCCTGCAATGATAGTTTCATCCTTTCAAAAACTTGGGGGGGAAGCAGGTTTTTTTGCTAATGACCTCTCTCCAGAAAATACAGAACTGAGCTTCACTTCTTGAGTGAAGCTAGAATTAATGAGTTTGTTTCCATGGAAATGTCTTAGGCTTGGAAGTTGCTTCACCTTCAGGGGTTGTAGAGTTTGCAAGGTGAATGAATGCCCCGGTCTTCTTCTAAGGCATCCCCATCTGTGAGACAGAATCCCTCTGTGTGGCTCCCATTGCAAGAGCAGCTGTCTCTGTGGTGCACTTGGTGGCTGGGATGATGATGTTTTCCTTCCCCTCCCCTGCCAAACTGATCTTGCTCTCCTCTCTGCCCACAGCATCTGCCATTACAGCCGCCTCTTCTGGGAGTGGGGGGAAGGTGTCAAAGTGCACGACTCTCAGAAAAGGCAAGATCCAGAGAAGCTATCAAAAGAGGATGTCCTGTCTTTCATCCAAGCACACTGCCCCTAACCCTGCTCTCTTGAGGGGTGCACGAGAGGCTGAGCCCAGCCTGGATTCTTCAGGGACTGATGAAACTGGGGAGCCTCCACAACTTCTATCCTGGTCTTCTCCAGAGCCAGTCTCCTGGAGGTGATAGAACCAGGGGGTGGGATGCAGAAGGCACAGGATGAGGCTCTACTCTGGCAGTGTATATACGAGTACAGCCCAGGTAGCACCTCCTGCCAGAGTGCCCATGGGGACTCCTGGAGCCAAGGCCTGACGCTGTTTTGTCCTGACCTACTGCATGCATGAGGCCAAGGGGCTGGCAGCTTTCTTTGCTCCCGTTCAAGCATTCAGTGAGGTGGTGGAGCTCTGTGTGTGCCAGAACTCTCCAGGCTCATGCTTCCCTGGCAGTGTGGGAAGGATCAGGGCCATCTGGGTGGCAGAGCTGGGCAGCAGCACACAGAAGATGCGAAGTGGCCCTGCATCATTCCTGGCAGCTGTCTCCTCAGCCTTGTCAAAGGCCTACACTGCCCAGCAGAGGGTGTTAACTCCTTGGGAAATGCTGGCTTTGGGACGTGAGCATGTATTCTCACTGGTGGCTCCAACGTTTCTGCTTACCAAGGCACTTGGCTGGCCACTGGCAGTTCCTGTGTGATGATATCCTGTTGGAAAAAGGCCAGTGCAGGTGATGAGTAGAGTTCCTGGCGCAGATTTGATGTGCTTGGTGCCAGGGATGTCTCAGACCTCTAGAAGCTGCTGTGACAAGGATTTCGCCTCTCCAGGTCTGGGACTGATCCTGAGCCAGCAGCCTGGGCTTCATTTGTGAACGTGTCTGCCTCACGGTACTTCTGAGAGCGAGGTGCTTTCATTCCTCATACTGGATGCCACTACCCATTCTTCAGGGAGGAAAGAAGATGTGGTAGGGAAGACATAGGAAGGTCGGAATGCTGGAGGTCTTTGGAGGAAACGATGGTAACGTCTGACTTAGTTAAACCCAGGGCTTCAGTGAAGAGATGTCCTGATTTTGAGCATGCTGGTTAATTAGAAGAAATCCTGTCCCCTGACTGTGCCCACTGGAAAGGTTACCAGACTTTACTTTTTAAATATCAGAGTGAGCTTTGAAACCCACCATGTCTCATCTGGCCCTGAAACTGCATCAGGGGTGAAGGCACCGAGCTGTGATACTCTCAGCATGGCACTTGAGTGTCAACAGACTTCTCAATGCACTTCTGTGCTGGACTCAAAGTAGTCTTCTCTTGCATGTTTTACCTTCACTCTGGCTTCCATGGCACTTTTGCCAGGTCTTCCACATTAATCAGAAGATAACACACAGTTGACTGCTTTTGGCCATGCAGCAAAATTGCCCTCTTTCATTGTTTTTTCCTTTGTTTTTCTTTTTTTTTCCTTTTTTTTTTTTCTGTTCATGCTTTGTTTTTAAACACAGATTGGCAGTAGGGAGGAAACTGATTTAGGGGTTGTCTGAACTGTGCCTTAAAGAAAGCTATAGTTCTAGAATCTATAGTTGTTTAGATTCTTGCTTGTGTCTCTCCACGCCCATGTGTATGATTTGAACTAGCTTTATGTAGCAAGACACGGAAATTTTTGCCTGTAGGTGTGTAGGTGCACCCCACCTGAAGAAGCCAGAACAAGGATGGCATGTTGTAGAAGTCCCACCTCCACCCTCTGAGGCCCAGCATTGCGTGTAGGTTTTGTGCTCATTCTCAGCATGCAGCTGAATGTCATCCTACAGAGTAGGCTGTGATCTCTGATCTTGGGGCACTTCCATGTCTTCCCAGGAAAGTTGTCTCCATATAACCATGTATTAATTCTGTACAGTTTGCTACAAATGAACGTCAAGCTGCCATTCCTTGCACCAGAGAAAATGATGTGCAAGGAGGTTGATCACTGTGGAACCTAATCCCTGGCTAAAGGAGCAGCACAGAAGTTGGCATGGTGTGTTGGTCAATGGAAACTGCAGGAAGCAAAGCTCAGGAGTGGGTGGGAGGTGAGACTGCAAATAGGTAGCCCTGAATATTGTGCAGGGGAGCTATTCTGTTTCCTCCCAAGATCTGGCCAAAAGTGAAGTGTGTCAAAGCTACTTTTTCCACACTGGTGATTATTAGTCCCCAGAGGTAGGTCTGCCAAAGCAGTTGAGGGACAGCATGCTGTGAATGCATCCTCTTGCTGAGCAGTATGCCTGTTCTCCTCTCAAGCACTGGTAGAACATGTATGAAAGAAATGGTGTCCCTTCGTTCCCCAAAGGACAGGAGGCCTGGCACTGTAAGTTTTGTTTTGGCAAAGGCATTTCCATGAGGGATGAGGAATCTCTCCCTGTGGGCACTATAGAACCTCCCAACTGTGTGGTTTCCAGGCCTATGCACAGTCAGCTTTTTAAACCAACCAGTAGTTTGGGTTCTAGTGGTTGTTCACACTGCCCTGAGGCTGTTGTAATGCAGCAAAGTGTGCTGCTTCCTTTGCCAGGCTCCTTTGCTAAGTGGTGTGGCCTCCACAGGGCTTTGGACTCCTGTGGGCTGTCAGACAAGTGACTGAGAAGTACACTAAGGTGAGTGTAGGCCTCTGAAGAGACAAAAAAAATTGTTTAGCCTGCAGGCTAGCTTTTTTATTAACAGATACTTTGTTTACCTAGTTGCCTCCAGCTCCTGATTTTAATTTGCTTTTATTTTGACTTTTATTTTTGATGCACTGAACCTTGGTTCTGAATCCCCCTTCAAGAAGGCAAGCATGAGCCACCATGCTACTTGCTGCCCTGCTGCAGGGTAAATAAGGAGGGGTTATGCTGGAAAGAGGCGTGAGGAAGGCGTTGCTGAAGGGAACGTTTATGTACATTAATTGCACAATGTATTGTTATTAAGCTGTGGATCATTTTGTGTTGACTTCTCTGCTTTCACTGTCTCTGTTTCCAATACAGCCCCATTAGTTCACAACGGTGCTTGCTTCCTTTGCTTCCCACAAAATGCTGGCCAGCAGTGCATGTCAGCATGAGACAGAGAAATGCATCACACGTTCAGCATTCAAAGGCAGTCCCCTTTTAATGGCTGTCCTGGCAAGTCAGGGCATGCTCAGAGCTACCTTGTGTATGCCACTGGATCAGAGTAAGTGGGGACTCCAGAGGACAGTGTCCAGTGTTCCTACGTAGCATGCTGAGCTGCTTTTGCACTCAAAAGAAGCAAACACTCAAGTAGATGCCAGGCCATAACAGAGCAATGACCTGGTGTTGAGACCTCACTGACCCAGGGATGTTAAGTGCCTAACCAGCCTAAGGTCCTGTGGTCCAATGTGTGCCAGGGGAAGGGGGCAGGATGAGAACAAAGCAGTGGCTGAGAGGCATGTTGCAAAACAGGGAAAAACAGAAAGTCAGAAAGTTACAAGGAATGCTGATTTTATTTCAAGCCCTGTAGAGGCACTTCCATCCCTGGGAGCTGACAGTATATTTTCTTCTGCAACTGTTGATTCTCAGAGGCATGAAGTAGCTACCAAGCTCTGATGCACTGGAGAGGTAGGTAGATCTTCTCAAAGCCCAAGCAGTCAGATCTCAAATTGGATGCTACCTGCTTGCAGAAAAGAGATACTACCTCCCCTCTGGTTTTGTGGAGGTAGGATTCCTTTAGTCCTGCAAGTCAGTGTGGAGTCTTTGTTTAGCTCAGCTTTGGGAAGAGGTGGAGCCTTAAGGTCACAATGCCCAAGTTACCCTTTGATTCAAAGAGCTTGGTGTCCCTTCAGCTTATAGTTGAGTCACAGGAACTAAGAAGGTGGCATGCATTCTGACTGGGCTGGGCAGAGAGCACTCATCTGCAGCAACAGAGGTCCCCTTCAGAAGGGAGAAGGTATTGCCTTCCTGCATCACGCTGGACAGTCATGGGTCAAGCAGAGCTCAAGGTGGTGCTGTCTTACCCAATTTCCAACAGTAAGTGTGCTGTGATTTCTGGTTCGTCTCCTGTCCACCTCAATTCTCAGAGAAAAAGCTTCCCTACAATGAGGCTTGGGGAGGATAAACAAGAACAGCAATTTGAAATGCTGATCTTCACCCCTGGGGGAGGCACAGTGGTGAGAAGAGGAGGAGCTCCTTGCAGGAGTCACCTGGTCAGCAGGGAGAGTTCTTGAGTGCAGTCACAGGGCCCAGCAGGCGTAGATGAGGGCGATGAGCAGGCCCATGGCCACGGCGAGGGCGGCGTGCCTGCGGTTCTCCTTGCGAAGCGCCCTCAGTTCTTTCTCTGGGAAGGAAACAAGAGTTACCTGTGAAATGTTCTTCACAGTGCACCTGCACCTCCTTTCAAAACTCTTGAAAGCACAAGGCTACCTCGGCCAGGGGCAGCTCTTTTGGGATCAGCATGCAAAGCTGCTGATGGTAGGATGTGCTGAACAGGGAATGAACGAGCAGGAACCTTTCATTTGGCAGCTCTCATCCTGTCCATCTCTGTTCCTGTGCTTGGGAATGCTTCAGTGCCACACCAGTTCCTGTTTGCAAGTGACCTTGTTCTATGGCCTAACTAAGGACAGAATGGGTCATTAGAATAATGGCTTGTTCCCTAACAGAGGACAATGACAGAGGGTGGAGAGCTACCTCCAGTATCTTCTAGTCAGACATCTTCTAGTATCTTCTAGACAGCCAGGTACTTTTTCCTAGTACTTAAATTTAGTTAAATACAGCTCAGGCCATCTTTGAATACTGCAGAATCTGGGTTTCTTTGTGCCCCAGAAAGATCTGGGAACAGCATCAGAAAAGGATTCTGTTCCCAGAAAAGGCTGTGGAACACATCTGAGCCTGAACGTCATGTTCTGCAGCTTTATAGACACAGGTCACTCTCCCTGGCCCTGGTTTACAAAAAGAAACATGGCAGAATCTTGGTTTCTTTGTGCCCCAAAAAGATCTGGGAACAGAATCAGAAAAGGATTCTGTTCCCAGAACAGGAACAGAAAAGGCTGTGGAACAGATCTGAGCCTGAATGTCATGTTCTGCAGCTTTATAGACACAGGTCACTCTCCCTGGCCCTGGTTTACAAAAAGAAACATGTACAGAGAGGAAGGAAGTGGCCACCAAAATTAAGGAATGCTACTCATCTCTACCCTGTTCCCTTTACCAGTGAAGCCCAGTGTTGCTAGTTCTGTTTCACAAGACTCTGTTGGATGTCATAGACAAGAAGTGAGGCCTGCAGCATTATGCATGGCACGGCCAAACAGCAATCATTATTTTGCAGGGCAAGACTGGGCACAGACTGTCTCTAGAGCCAGGCTGCTCTTGCTGCTGAACTCAGCTGCAGGGACTGGCATGGTCACAGTGTTAGTGCACAGTTTGCACCAGCTGTCTGCAGTGGGAATGCTCTGGTTCTGCAGGTTCCCAAGGTGGTGGTGCTATCAAAAGAGGCTTTCAGCTGTTCTTTCTGCCCCCATTCTTCACATGGTAGAAGTATTTTTTTGCAACTACAGAGCAAACTGCTTGAGTCTGCAAGACTACAGAGGAGGTGGTAGGGGCAGGAGGTCACATAACCCTGAGCACAGCAGTGCCAGCTTAAACTCATGGAGCAATGCAGCTCGTGGCCTCAAGTGTATCAGCTGGAATAAGCAGAGATTTAATCAGAGGCCATGGCAATGGTCTTAAAAGACTGTGTGGACACATAGGGCCTGTTCTGTCCTAGGAGGAGCAGCCATCACCATTAGGCTGACTGCTGGTCAAAAGGTGGCAGTGATCCATCTCTAGTGGTAGGTGGGCCCTTGGGGAACAGCTTTGAGCCTGTTTAAAATAACTGTTAGTCTTCTGGAAACAGTCCTTTAATGTGAGTTAAAATTGCAGATTTGCTGGTCATACCCCAGCTTCCATCTCTCCAGGCCTAAGAGAACACAGCTGCAGAGTGCTGTCAAGCATTCAACATGCTGGTCCACACCAGGAGCCTGAAGACATGCTAAGCAGCATCCCCAGCAGAATGAAGGAGTGCCAAACGTGCAGTAGCTCAGAGGGACTCCCATTTTAACTGTCTACAGCAGGACTTGCAGCAAGAAGAGACCCTGGCCCTCTGGAACTGCAGGCAGCACACCAGTGTGAATCCCTGTGCTGGTGTGCTGAACAGCCCCAGGCACAGATGCAGTGAGACCCCTCCCCAGGGAAGGTGCACTTTGCTATGCTCCAGGCAGCACTTCCAGCTTGCTTAGCAAGTCTCTATTAATAGAAAGAAGAAAAAAAAGGGGAGCATTAAAAGCCACTCAAGTCAATTGTTGGTCTGTTGGCTCAGATTCTCTAAACACTGGTAATTTGGGTCATGAGAAGGGGAAATCTTTCCCCCCTCATTAGCTGGTGCTTATTTTTTTTCCCCTCTATGATAGCACAGCTTAAGCCAGAGGATCCAGACTCCTAATATGCCAGCTAGATTTCCCTCAGTCAAGCTCCCTTTGATTGAACTTAAATTCAAAGGCAGAAGTCAGAGGTGGCAGGAGCTTGAAGACAAAGCTAAGCTTCAGCACTGATCCCATCCAGCCCAGAGGGACCATTTTTAATGAAGCTCTTACCATAGTTGTCAGCTTTGGTCATTAGCAGGTTTCTCTCTCTCTCCAGCAACTTTCTGTAATGAGAAGAGGAGTTCATTACCAGCCAGGCACAACACAGCCTGTTTCTTTGCTTATCTGATAGAAGAGAGACTGTCCCACTGCTGGGGATACCTGCTCACAGAATGATCCCCTCACCCTTCACTGCGGAGAGGTGACAGTTTAGAAACCCCCACCTGTGCAAGAGCAGAGATGCCACAGTTTTAGATTGCTTTTTCCTTCCCCCAGGCTGTTCTGTATCTCTCACTGCATACAGCATCAGTGCACAGCAGCAGGCTAGGAAGGGGTCCAGGTGTCAGAGACCCACTCCATTCCCCTGGGAGGCATGAAGTTTTGCCACAGCTAAAGGATGGGGCAGGGTCCCTACAGACTCTGCAGGATCCTGTGCCTCCAGCACATCTGACTCAGTGCTGGAATGCTAATGCTTCTCACGGATTGAAGCTGAAATCCCTTTGTCAGAAGTATCCAATTTTCACAAATCGGTCAGCTCAGGAAGCAAACTGAATCTGAGCCCAGTAACAACCAGTTAAGCAGACTGAAGACTCAGGATAATAACACTGAAGAGTAAGCCAGGCCAACCCAGCTCTTCTCTTAAACTGCACAAGATGATTAATTAATATACAGTTTAAAATACAAAAGCAGAACAAACTGCCTGAAAGCAGCAGTGCTTCCATTACGGTAGCGAGGACGTGGTCGCTCCTTTCAGACTGTGTGCATATAAATAAACACCACTAACAAATTATCTCATGGTTCAGAGGAGGCTGTAACAGTTTGTAATTCCCCTTGGGGCAGAGCAAGAACCTGTAGGAGGAAGGAGATCCAAATCTATGTGTACAGCTAGTTAAGGGAGGGCAAGGAAGGGACGTCAGAGCAGCAGGAGAGGAGAGGCAACGTGGAGTGCAGCCAGGGAGAAGCAAGAAGATGGATTTACCAGCCTGACTGAGCTGCTACTTAGAAACTTGCCTCGTGAAGAGAGTCAAGGGAAGAGGCTTTAAGAATGAGACATGAAGAAACCATGACAACTGAACTTCAGAATGGGAAAGCAGAGCTCTCCTTGGAGTATTACTCACTGAATCAATAGTTTTGATCATGGCACCTTCCTCCAGGGTTCTTCGAATGGCCTGGATTAGGGCAACAGAATTCTATCTCCATAAAAACTGTAAAATTCAGAAGAGGCCTCAGGAGTCCCTATTCCTTATTCTTTGCTTTAGGCCCTATATTTCAGAGAGAAATCATACAGATATATTCCATCCTGTGAGTTTACCACAACTGTAGGTTTGGTTGTTGACCACATAAGTACCAGAGAAAGAATACAGGCAGTAAACATAACAAGAATTTAGGCCTAGAAAAGGACTGTTGAGAGGAGGAGCTGGGGAGAGGAGGGACAGGAGGAGGCTGGGCCCTTTCCAAATATGGATATAAAACCCCAGTAAAGAGGGAGGCACAGACAGTGAAAAGGAGAAACAAAGAAGTTAAAACTGAGGCTGGTAAGTATCAGGGTGTGGAGATGTCACCACTGCTAGGGTCATTTTGAGCTAGGTTTTCTAAGACAGTACGGTAGCACAGACATCAGGACCAAAAGGACCATTCTCTGGGCCTGTAACTGAGCTTCCCCACCTTTCTTGCTGGGAGGAGAGCAGTAGGATGCTGGTGACTGGAAGAATGTCCTCAAGCTGAGAGATTTGAGTATCAGCTGGGGGATCTAGGATGTATTGCTTCACACTCTGGAGAAAGAGCAGGTTCCACCTGTATCTGCTACAAAATCCAGGTCAAAGTCCTTGCTTGAGTCCCAGCTATAGAAACCTACAGTTGCCTCTTCTATGGCAGTGACAGATTTCAGAGGAACTCTCCCCCTCTTCCCTGTCCCAGGGAAAGCCAGTATGTCACAGCATCTCTATATCCAGACGTATTTGCAGCACGAGCACAGAGTAATTTCTGTAAGCCCCTTTTGCAATTGCATCCCAGCCTGGTTTGGCCCTCAGCAGTAGTTGCTACACACTGCCCTGACTGAATTTGGGCAGCTTTGGCAAGGCCTGAGTAGCAGTGTGCTGTGAACCTTTGCCAGACTCCGAGATGTTTCTGAGCAGGCCAGGAGCCAGCTCTGCAAATGAACTGTCTGGTTGTGGTGTAGGCTGGAGAGCGTGGCTGTCGGTAAGATAAAGTTCTCTCCATGTATCACTGAATTTCTCACCCTGGCAAGCTTCCCAAATAAGCTCCAAGCTGGAGGAAGAGAGTCTTGTCATGGGGAACGACACCTTCCCAGCCCTTCAAGAGGACATGCTCAGTACTACAGCAGGATAAGAGCCAGCTGAAGCACACGGCCAGAGCTTTGAAAGTAGGTGGTTATCAATACCTTCCTTCAGGGCTGAGCGTCTCCCTGCGCAGTTTAAGGTCCACCTCCTCCATGCTCTGTCTGCAACGTGCCAGCTTCTCCTCCAGTCCATCAATCTGAAACACACCACACCAGTCACTGTCATTTCCTCTCCCAGCTAATGCTGATCCATCCCCTCCCAGCTGGGAAGAGTTGCAGCTCAGCCACTGCACACCCTTCCTTCCCAAAGCAAGGGAGGTTTCTTTGCGTGTGGCTCCCCAAGCAAAGATGGGCTCTGAGGTGTCTTTATGCAATTAGAAGAGGATAAAAGGAGAGAGACTGGCCATGGTGAAAGCCTGAGGGACAAGGTCTGGTGTTAGTGCTGTGGATGGATGCAGAAGCTCCTGGGATGTGACTACAAAACACCCTCGGTGGTCTGGCTGGGTGAAGAGGGGACAAAGGGGAAACACTGAATACTGGCTGTGTCATTTACCCAACTACATCTACAACAGCAGGCTGCATGATATGTTCAAGGAAGGGAGCATTCACCACCACCTCCACACCTTCCACCTGCACAAAGTTCTGGCAGCAACACGTTCCCATGCAGAGAAAGACTGGTCATTTTGTGCCTCCTCGTCAGGTTTCCTAACACACACCCTCTCACTGGGTCTTCCTGGGGAGGGGAGTCATCGTGGGTAAGTACAAGAAAGCTGATTTACTTGTGTGCAAATGGTCTGCCAGGAGGGAATCCTACCATGGACAACAGTTCCCCAGGGAATCAATCCTCTTTTCTGCCTGGCAACCAGAGTGTAGACATCTTTAGGCAAACTGTCTTTCAGGCCTGCTTCCAGCAGAGAAACGGAAGGACTAATAGGATAATATGAACACAACATCCCAGACTGAAAGAAAATTACCTTAGTGCCCTGAGTGGTCAGTGGCTTCTCTCTTAGCACAACACTCCTGCTGTGTCTGGTTCTCCAAGCAAGGCCAAGGTCAGCTAGGTGGCTGGCAGCACAGCCCCTCTGTGATGGGAGCCTTCACAAACCAGAAGCTAAGAGGCAGCATGGTGCTGGGTAAAATACTGAGGTGGAATGGGACACCAGCTGCCTGGACATCAGCCTCAGGGGTGGCCCAGAGTACAAACACTCCCATAAACAGTGATATGGGAAACAAAAATCAAAGGTAGCAATCCCTAATTATTGCTGATGAGCTCAGGACAGAGCAGCAACCTCACGCTTTCTGCTCAGGAAAGGCAGGCAAGGGTTATAGACAAGCAGGATGGGAGAAGAGGCTTGAGGAGAAGGGAAGAAGGCTGCAAGAATGGATTCAGCTGGTCAGCTGAAGTCTCACTGCAAGGAGCCCAGCAGAGCCGGGGAGGGGGCCACATACAGCAAGGCTCAAATAAATCTTTGCATCTGATCAGGCAGCAATTCCAATGTCTCCTCGTTACTAGGCAACTCTGTCAGGGATGCTGAGATGCCAAGCTCCCCAGAGGCACCCACACACCTTCCCCTGAGCCCGAGGGGAGCACCCAGGCACAGCACCAGAGCACAGGGAATGGCACTCCTGTGCTTGCCAACGCTTGGGGCTGCCTGGATGGGGACACGGAGGTTTCTGAAGCACGCTAGCTGAAAATGCATGTGCCAAGGACAAAGATAATGGTCCTCCTCCATATCCAGCTGTGCCAGTTAAGAACGTTCACTCCAGCTGCTCATCACTCTCTGTCAGCCACTACAGCTCAGTCAGTGAGAGGCACTGTGCCAGCAAGCTTCAGGGCCAGCCAAGGGCTTCACCCCAGTCAGCTCTGACCATGCTTGTCAGCAAGGTAATCTAGTGGCAGAGTGCAGTAGAGTGGAGGTGGGGCCTCCATCCAGTCCAATTTAAGAACAATCACCTCCCTCACCAGTTCCTACCATTTGCAAATGACTGTGTCTCTGCCCCCTTGTCTGCTGGAAGCCCTCACACACACAAGAGCTACTTCAGCACGTGTTACCTGGCTCCTCCTTAGCCAGTAAACTTATTACACCAGCCCTTCTATGGAAACACGTTGTATTATTTAACATTATTTTTAAATTTAATGAGAGCTTTGGCTGGTCAGCTGCCAACCCCACCACTAGTAAATTATCCATGTCATTGTACTTCCTATCTTCTCCTCCAGTAGGGTTCCTTCCTCCTGCTCAGTTTGCAGTTGCTCTCACTAGGACATTCTCTTCTGTCATTTCATGAGATGTAACAAGAGGATATTCCACCTGACTCTGACAATGCTTTTACTTTCTGCTGACTAAAAATCTCCAGATTCCACATAATACTTTAAAAGTTTCAACTGGTTTTACTGCTCTTAAATCAAAACCAATGTCTGGATTCCCTGCTGGAGAGCAATAATTTGCTAATAAATGCATGCCCTAGAACTGCACCATCAGATTTGCTGAGCTGGGGGCACAAGGGACAGAAAATAATCATAAAAAAAAAAGCAAGGAAGGAGGAACAGATTACTGAATGAATGAAATATTTTTCTTCCAGAATCCCAGTATTTATTTTCTTCAGGCCAGTCTGGGGCACTAGGGGTGATAAGGAAGGACAGCAGTGAGGATTCCCAGATGTTATCCATTCACTGTGCCTCAGTTTCCTTACTTATAAGTTAGGACAATACTATCTGCCTCCTGGAGGTGGCTCCTTTAAAGAAGGAGCCTCAGACATTGACCCAAACCGTGGGCATAGCACTATCTTGATATGCCAGTGCCATTGCCTCACTTGGGATTTGGGATCTATTCCTGCAAGCTAAGAGTCTCTCAGCAGCTCAACCACCCAAGTAACTCTTCATTGCAGGGCAAAGGAAAGGGAGCAATAGAAAATAAGCACAGGGAGAAATGAGAGTAATGCCTGGGAATTACTGGAGAGTAATGCCTGGGAATTACTGATTACTCTCTGGCTGCTGAGGAAGCTCCTGGGGGGACAGCAGCCTGCAAAGCTGTAGCACAAGAGAACCTGTAGAGCTTTGGTGCAAGTCCCTGCAGCAGCTCTCCAGGAGAGCAACCCCAGAAGCAGATGCACACCTGAGCTTGTTGTGGATGGAAAGCTTTCCCTCCTAACTCATGAGGAGACTAGTTGGAGTATGCACCCAGATCTACTCAAAGCCTGCATGAAAACAGAGAGGCAAGCCCACTTAGCTGAACCATCACTGCACTTCACACTCCTTTTGGTGGGAATCTCCACACAGTAGCTTATACCTGGCAAAACCCTTTGCTCCTTCTGGCTCAACTTTCCATGAAGAGGCCCTTCTGGGATCAAGAGTAACATGCAGAAAGCTCTCAACTCATCAGGTTTGCACAGCCTGTAGCAGGAGCACAGGACTTCACTCACATCTTTAAGCAGTGTCAGTTAGAAAGGACAAGTGAAACAGATGCTTCACATCCAGGCAGCAGCTCGGGGCACACAGAGCTGCCCTTCTGCTCAAGAGCCACTCCACAAAGTCAAGTCCCAGCAGCTCTGGATGCTCACAGGGATCTAAGACCAGATGCCCCCCTTGCTCCACAAGGTATGACCAGGCATTGAGCCATTTTTTGTTGAATTCTGGCAAAACTGGCTTGCAATCTGAAGATGTTTTTAAAACCAGAGAGACCTGGAGCAGATTTCAATCCAAGCTAACTTACATGCCTATTACAGATCTCATTTATTGGTACCATCTTGGGCAGGGAGCCCGAAATGGCTCACATAAAGGCGGAGACAAAGAGAAAAAGAAGCAGCTTTGCTTACAGAGTTGAGCTGGATCCCTTTTAATACATTTTGTAATAAATTAATAAAAGCTTTTTTTCCAGCAGAAAGACTAAAAGTGCTTTTCAAGAACTGCCATCCACCCTCTGCTTTTATGAATTCCCTAATTAAGATACTGGCAAGGAGCCATATCACACATACGTCGACATCCAACAGCGTTAGGTAATGAGGTTTTCGTCTTCTGACCCTCATCAAGCAGATCAAAGCCAAGTAAAGAGGTGGGGGCAAAGGAAAAAACCCTTCCCCAAGCAGTCCTCTCTTGCCTTGTCGCCTGCCAGCACACTTGAGCTGTTCTTTTCACAGAAGAATTAGTGGTTCCTGCATCCACAGATTTGGCTGGGTTATTAAAATCAGTCCAGCAGAGATGAGTTTTGTTTAAATTCAAATGCTAGCTTGCAGTTCACAGACACTTCCATTTTCACCACGCTCTTGGAATCATTTTCCATGCTGGCAAATCGTTTTGCAGATGCTGTGCCCACTATGTGCTTGGAAATATTTACCTATATTTGGTTCCCTTGCAGTCATGTTTTTCAAGCTTAAAACGACCTGGTATGCTTAGTTGTTTCTTGCACACTTTTCCACACCTTTGATCATCCTTGTCACTCTCTCAAGCTCACTCTGTTTTCACTATTTTGCCATAAAACGGACCTGTCTTCCCAGTTTCTTTTTGCTGACAAGTTCCCTCAAAGTTCTGTGCAGCTCAGCACTGTCAATAGGGCTGCCTGTTGAAAGACCAGAGCCACATGAAAGGAGCAGTGGCACGAGTTTAAATCACAACTTTATGAAGACATTTATATCAGTTTAAAGCAGGTCATATCAATTACACCTGCAATTCGTAAGTGCAAGATAATCTGATAAGTGTCCATATAGAAAATTGCATTCATTTACAGTTAAACAAGCATGACTCTGCCTAGATTAGGCCTTTCAAAGCTAGCCATGCATCACATCGTATTAAGACTCATCTGGCAAGTTTCCTTTACTATCCTAACAGCTCAGAAGGTAATAATGAACCGAATAACAGTTTAAGTTATGAAATCAGCACTTTGTTTGTTATGCATTCTGACACCTGAAACACAGCCTTCTCAGCCCCTGGCTTTATAGGGTTTTGTTTTCCTCCTCCCTAACTTCTATTCAGTACCCTTTTCATTTCTGCAAGGGGGGGGGAGGGAGGGACTTTGCCTTTTAGTAGTATCTTTGCACTGAAAGCTCAAGTTTTCATCCATAATACACCAAAGAAGAACAGTTCTACAACAATTTCAAAAGTGGTGGGTTCTATCATGTCCACTTCTAAAAATAGCAATAATAATCTAAAGCTACCACAACCCCTCCAACACTTTGCAAGAATTTTCCATGGCAGCAAAATCAGTTTCTTTTCATTCTGTGACCACCAGGTCACTGACAGGCTCACCCTTTCTCTCCTCTTGTAAGGTAGACCATACCATCTTAACTCTTCTTGCCCGTCACATCTCAAACAACAAAAACCACCAAAAATTTGTTAGTTTGACTCTCCCTCTGCTAGGGTGACTGAAAAGAAGCTCGGACAGTAAGCACACTGCCTCCTGGATTCCCTTTGGTGGTTATATCTGGGTTAAAATGTCTGTTTCTCTAATGAAAGCCTAACTAGATGAAATAGACCAGAAAAGTACTATAACCTGAACTCCCTTTCCCATGGTAGGGCAGGACACTCACCTTTAGGTTACTGGGTGATGAAGCATATATGACAAGCCCCAAGTCCTTTCCCTGGCCTTTCCACCCTGACTATTGTGAGTTTTTTTTAATGCATATGTTCAGTTGAAAGACTTCAGGACAGAAAGGTGACCAGTGAGATTTGCTGGATCGATCCTGCTCCACCCTGGCTATCATGAGGGTTTTTTTTTATGCATATGTTCAGTTGAAAGACTTCAGGACAGAAAGGTGACCAGTGAGATTCGCTGGATCGATCCTGCCCCATTTCAGGCATTTGTCAGGAAGGTTCAGGCTTTTATGGTCTCCAAAGTATCCACAACCCACAGAGTTGAACTATAGCCTCTGCACTGCTTCCTCCAAGTCAGTCCAGACAGCACCGCTCAGAGCATGAGCCAGAATGAAGCAGCCTTCAGAGAGGCCTTAGCTAACATACCTCAGTTTAATACAAACATAAAGTTCAAACAAAGCTTACCAGCAGCCCTCCTGCCACGCAGGAGATTACGAAACACCCAAGCACGAAAATAAAAGGGCAGCTTTAGAAGGAAGGCACACCCTTAAAACGCAGGCTTTCCCCCTTCTCCCTCCCGTGACCTGCAGGCACCTCACATGCAGCTTTATTGCTGGGCTCCCCAAGGGCCACGGCCAGTGCCCAGCGTGCCGCTGGCTCTCACCACTGCACACACAGCCCAGGCCGCACACATCTACTAGCCAGGGGCCACCGCTTGCCACAGCACCCTCCGTGGCACACACGCACCGACTGCCCCTCACCAGGACTGAAGTGCACTAAACGCCACGGCCTGGACAGAGGCCTAGGCAGCGAGGGTCCCGCTCAGAGGAGGGCCCAGCACAAGCCACCCCGCCTCGCCCTCCTCCACTGCCGTCGCTCACTAAGATGGCAGCCAGGCCCCGTTCAGCGCGGTCGAAGCAGCATC